TGTCTTCTGGACTCTCCATTCCTGGCTCTGGGGGTCTAATCTGATAAATCCATTCTAACAGGCCAATTTCCCTAAGCCTCTGGATACCTTCTTCTACAGTATACCAAGGCAGGTCTGGTACTTCAACTTGACTTAAGGTAGGCCACCATATAATCCATGCTTCAGTAAGCCAACCAAATAAACTATTAGATCTTTTCCTAACCTCTCGAGCTAAAACACTGAATGAAGAATCTGTGCTTAGTGGGCCTAAATCAATAAACTCAGACTGATCCAATGTTACATTCCTTGCACTATTATCCCACACCCTCAATAGCCATTCCCACACATATTCTCCAGGTTTCTGTCTGCACATGTTAGCAAAATCAAGTAGGTCTTTTTGGGTGTAGCATACCACTTCCTCAATCACACTTTCTGTTTCACTTGCTTGGACTTAACTTTAGTTAAGCTAGCAGCTACAATGGGTGGTTGGGGCAGTTTCTGAGAACATTCAGCAATGTCTTCCATGGCCTCTGCCTCAGGCAATGACTGAGCAGGAACAGTTGTGCTAATCCCATCAAACTGAGGGGGGAGAGGATAATGGTTTTATAGTAATCCCTTCAGATGGAGGGATTCAACAGAATTTACAGGCTCTGTATCCTGATCTTCCTTACTATCTGTCCATATGTCCCCATTCCAGGTTTCAGGAGCCCATCTTTTCCCAATCAATGCCAACTAGTCTATGGTGACTAAGAGTATAGAATAGGAGGGGATACAAGAGAGACTTCTGAGTATAGGAAATGTTGTATATCTTGATCTAGGAGGTAATCAATCACATTGGTATATACATATATAAAAAGCAAGCTGGAGGTTTTTTCCAACTCTTGCAGCTGCAGGGGCTGAGGAGATCAAGGTTGGCAGGCAGTATACTGGTTGTTGACTCCAACAAATAACGAATCCAAGATCTCCAGGCCAAGTGGTGGATTGTTCGCTCATGGACAGTTGCAGGCAGCACAACAGAATCCTGATCCATAGAAAAATGTCTTTTTCCAGGATGTCTATAAATATATGGGAAGCTGGCCACATCCCTAGGGAAACTCCCTTTCAATGGATTAGCTGCTCAAAACATATTCATCTGATTCCATCATGGGAATAACCACATTGCAACTGCTTCAACCACACAGAATTGTGGTCCAGCCAAGTTGACACACAGCTCCAACTATCACACTAGGTATACATCCTAAAGAAGTGAGAGCCAGGACAAGAACAGCTATATACACACCCATGTTCATCACAGCACTATTTACAATGGCAAAAGAATGGAAACAACCTAGGTGCCCATCAACAGAAGAATAGATAACCAAACTATGATACATATGTACAATGGAATATTATGCAATTCTGAAGAATACTGCAGAATCTGCAAAGCACTGCATAACATAGGTGAACTTGGAGGACATTATGCTGAGTGAAATAAATCAATCACAGAAGGACAAATATAGTATTCGTTCATTGTTGTAAAAAGTCAAGGAAAGGTTTATATATGGAATGAAACTTTCTTTGTTGGTTACCAGGGGTGGGTGGGGAGAGGAGGGAACACTGCAAAAAAAAAAAAAATTGACTCATGTCATTTTAGTTTTGTTTATTTCATTGTACATAAATTGTATTTCAATAAAATGTATTTTTAAAAAATTTAAAAAAAGAATGTTCATAGCAATTTTATTCAAAGTAGCCCAAACATGGAAACAACCTGAATGCCCATCAACAGGAGAATAGATAAATATATTGTAACATAGTCCCACAATGGAGTATTACATATTAATAAAAAAGAATAATTGTTACATGCAACAACATTGATTCACCTTATAGTCAAAATCCTTAGTGAAAGAATTCAGACACAAAACAGCATTGTGTTAGGCTGGGTTCTCTAGAGAAGCAAAACCAGTAAAGCTTAGAAAGAGAGAGAGAAATTTATCTCGGGAAAAATGGCTCACACACTTATAGAAGCTGGCAAGTCCCAAGTTCTTGGATCAAGCTGGAGGGTTTTCCCAACTCACACAGCTGCAGGGGCTGATGAGCATAAGGTTGGCAGGCAGTATACTGGCTGTTGACTCCAATGAATGACGAATGCAAGATCTCCAGGCCGAATGGTGGACTGTTTGCTCACGGACAGTTGTAGGAAGCACAACAGGATCCTGATTCACCGAAGAATCTCTCATTTTCCCACAATGTCCATAAATATATTGGAAGCAGGCCACACCCCTAGGGAAAATCCCTTTCAACCAATTAGCTGCTCAAAACATATAGATAAACATATACATCGAATCTCATCATTGCAATTGCTTCAACCAGAGTTGTGGTCCAGCCAAGTTGACACACAACTCCAACCATCACAAGCATATACTGAATAATCCCATTTATATAAATATCAAAAACAGGCAAAACTAGTCTATGGTGACTAAGAGTATAGAATAGAAGGGGATATGAGAGAGACTTCTGGGTATAGGAAATGGTCTATATCTTGATCTAGGAGGTAATCAATCACTTCACTATATACATATATAAAAAGTTATTGAGCTGAATACTTAAGATGTTTGTATTTTACTGTATATAATGTATATCTTAATAACAAAATAACAAAGTCAAGCCTCAAAAAACAATATAGCATTTTGCTCTTTTTATGAAGTTTGAAAACAAGTACCACTAAACAACATGTACATGTGATAAGACAAGACAGGATGAGAAAAAGAAGGAAGGATGGAAAGGAAAGAGGAAGGAAGAAGGAAAAAGGGTGGGCAGAGAGAGACAGAGATAGAGAAAGAAGAAAGGAGGATAAACAAAATTCAAGATTGTGGTGCCTCTAAGGGGAGGGTAGGAGAGAGAGAAATACCACAGGCAGATGTACATCATTGGTAACATACTGCTTCTTGGATTGAGAGGGTAGTTTCATTTGTGTGTTATTTTATTTAAAATGATTAGGTTGGAACAAAATATTTAAGAGGGCCAGGCAATGACCAATGATAACAATGGATCATAAACCAAGGATTATGATTAATCTAACTTTTTATACCTGAGGTCTTTTTAATGTCACAAATATCTGCTCACTGATTATTTACCTGATAACATTTCCTAAAGTGGTTAAACTTAAGTTAACTCGTGATCCTTCCCGTAGTCTGTCCCCTTCAGATCCTGAAGATTTCTGCCTTTCACTTCCTGCTAAATCCACCAAATTAATACTGGATTGCTTGGTGAGATGTCTGTCCAGGAAAACCTGTAGAAAAAAATATCATAGATCATGCTATTAGAGTGATATAGCAAGTCAATCTAGTTTACGTGTTTAAATGTTTCTTCTAAAAGTATTTCAGATTCAAAGAAAGACACAATAACATTTATAAATTAAATTTCCATACTCTTTACAATGACATTTTACAATAATACAATATTGTTGTTGTTAGGTGCTGTGTTGCTGTTTCCAACTCATAGTGACCCTATGTGCAAAAGAATGAAACACCGCCTGGTCCTAATACATTACCAGGTCCAAATATCTCAGTCGCCTCTTCCCAATTCAGCAAAGCTATTTTCCAATGATATATTAGATACCAATGGTTGCTCCAGTATTTCTATGGTCAGTAAAACTTTTAAAATATAAAACATTGTGAAATCTACAAAATAACTACCCAGGATTGTGTGATCATGTCATGTAAAGAACATGGATTTTAGAATCCTACAGATCCCCTTCACGACTACATGACCAGAAGCAAATGACTTAACTTTGCAGAGTTTCAACTTTCTCATTTGTAAAAAGGGGATAATAATATTTTATTGGCATGTTATGAAGAATTAAAGATAATAGACATAATATGTCAGATACAAAGTTTGGTGTATAATAACAGGTGCTAATATTCTCCTCAGAAGGAAGGTTGGGCAATCTACTTCTGTAGTGATACAGCTTTGGAAACCCAAGGAGGGGTCACTATGAGTCGGGTTCAACTCAATGGCACATAACAACAATAGCATTATTATTATTATTATTATTATTATTATTATTATTATTACTGAAACCAAAAGAGTGTGGTGGTAAATCTCCATTCATTATTTTCAGCTGATCTCTTCCCTTCCTCCAAAAATATCAAGTTTAAAATATCAGGGAACAAAGTTATAATAACTTGTTAGCCACAGCCAAAAACCCTGAGCTTGAGACCATGGTTGCAAGAGTTCTGATTGAGTTTTGTTTCACATTTTTTCCTATTTTATCCAGGATCTCATATTGTGATCCCTTTCCAAGTGGTTGACAGTGATAGCCAGGCACCATCTAGTTCTTCTGGTCTCAGGGTCACGTAGGCTGAGGTTTGCATGGTTCGCTAGTACTTTGGGCTAATTGTTTCCATATGTCTTTGTTTTTCTTATGCTTCTTTGCTCCAGATGTGAAAAGACCCATTGTTGCATCTAGATGACCGCTTGTAAGCTTTTAAGACCCCAGTCCCCACTCACCAAAGTAGGATGTAGAACAATGTTTTTGTGTAGTATGTTACGACAATTGAGCTTGATGTCTCTGCTGTGGTAGTTAAGGTTGTGTGTCAACTTGTCTGGGCCTGGTTGAGTGGCTGGGCAGCTGCTCATAGTTATTCCCTATGATGAGACTGGCAATCAACTCCATGGTGGGATCTACCCCCAAGCAGCTGAGTAGCTGTTTTAGGGATGTGGTCTGGTTTCTGTATATAAGCAGCAGCTTTGGTAATGGTCTCTAGCTGATGTCATGCTTGTACCCTGCATATAGCCAAGTCATTGTGCAACAGCCTGCCATGCTCTGCTGATCCTTGGACTTTCAATGGACTTGAATCAATGGCCTGCCTTGTGGTTTGGTAATATTGGGATGTGCCTTTTCACTTGCCAACCTTGGGTTTGTCAGCCTCAGCAGCTAGTAACTGCCTGAGTACAGAGGTGCCTCCAGCTTCAGTGGGCTGGTAGCAGGAAGCAGAGCTGAAGCTCAGTGTCAAGGGGCTTTCACCCAGCCCCTAGAGCCTGGCACTTTGAACTCAGACTTAAAGCCTCCTGTTTGTTAAAGTCATCCCATTTGTGGTATATTTCTGTCAGAGTGGATTAGGTAATCAGAACACTTGCAACCGTGGTCTCAAGCTCCGGGTTTTTGGCTGTGGCTAAGAAGTTAAGAGTGGGAGGAAAAACATGGAACAAAATCCAAAAACTCAATAATGACCAGAATTACTGGTTGCGGGGAGTCTGGTGAGACCCCCAATACTATGGCCCAGGGATACATTCTGGGCCTGGATTAAAACTTACTCCCAGGGGCTGGCTCTCAGCCCAATAGTAAACAAGACATACAAGCAGACCACTCCCAGGGTGGCACACCCACATACTCTATGGAAATGCATCCCTTGGAGCGATCAACCACAGGCACCAGAGGGGCAACCTTCATACAGGGAAATGCAGGACACACAGCAGTGCATAACTATGAAGGGTATGGGGGGTGCAGGTTGCTGGTCAGGGAGGGGAGGAGACTGGGTTAGGGTTGGGGATGGTAAATGGGGAGTGAAACTAAATATACACATAATGTTGAATGTAAAACAAACTCTGCTCTGTAAACTTGCACCTAAAGCATAATAAAAAAAACAAAAGAAGATGGGCCCTGTATGTTGGAAGGCACTCAAAGTACACAGCAGCTACAACAATGGACTTGAGCATATCAACAGTCATGAAGATGGTACAGGACCAGACATTGTTTTGTTCTGTTGTACATGGAGTTGCCATGAGTCAGAGCAACTAACAACAAAGGCAACCAACAAACATTACTAGTGCTGTGGCCTAGAGGACAAGGTGGTAAAATCTAAACTAACTGTATTATCTACCCAGCCATTGTGAATAACCATTTCTAAATCATACTATGTGATACTGTAGAGATGATTCTCTGATAGCCAATAAGAAGTATAGAAGAGAGAGGAGGATTCAAGATAACAGAATAAGCAAATACACCGATCAGACCCTCTACAACAATGACCAGAGAAAAACAAGTAAAACAGCTATAGATAATGGTACTGGAACCCAGAGCTTCAATGAAAAATATAAAAAAGTAGATCAAATACCAATGTTGTTATTAAGTGCCATTGAGTTGTTTCTGACTCATAGTGACCCTATGTGCAGCAGAACAAAATACTGCCCAGTCCCACACCAGCACCACAATCCTTGCTATACTTGAGTCCATCTCCCCAGCTACTGTGTCAATCAATCTCATTGAGGGCCTTCCCCTCCTTGGTCGACCCTCCACTTTACCAAGCATGACATCCTTCTTCAGGGAATGGTCCCTTCTGACAACATGACCAAAGTAGGTGAGATGAAGTCTGCTCATTCTCGCCTCAAAGGAGCATTCCAGCTGCACTTCCTCCAGGACAGATTTGTTAGATCTTTGAGCATTCTTCACCAGCACCACAACTCAAAAGCATCAACTTTTCTTCGGTCTTCCTTATTCATTGTCCAGCTCTCACATGCATATGAGGAGACAGAAAACACCATGGCTTGTGTCAGGCGCACCTTAGTCCTCAAGGAGATAGATATCTTTGCTCTTCAGTACTTAAAAGAGGTTCTTTGCAGCCGATGTGCCCAGTGCTATATGTCGTCTGATGTCCTGACTGCTGCTTCCATTGGCGTCGATTGTAGAACCAAGCAATGTGAAGTCTTTGACAACTTCAATCTTTTCTCCGTTTATCGTGATGCTGCTTGTAGGTCCAGTTGTTAGGATTTTTTGTTTTCTTTATATTGAGATGTAATCCGTACTGCAGAGTGTATTCTTTAATCTTCATTAGTAAGTGCTTCAGGTCATCCTCACTTTCAGCAAGCAAAGTTGTGTTATCAGCATATCACAGCTTGTTAATGATTCTTCCTCCAATCCTGATGCCATGTTCTTCTTCATATAATCCGGCTTCTCAGATTATTTGCTCAGCATGTAGACTGAATAAGTATGGTGAAAGGATACAGCCTTGACACACTCCCTTCTTGACTTTAAACCATGCAGTGTCCCCTTCTTCTGTTCGAATGACTGCCTACAAGTTCCTCATGAGTACAATTAAGTGTTCTGGAATTCCTGTTCTCCTCAATATTACCCATAATTTGTTATGATCCACACAATCAAATGCCTTTGTATAGTCATAAAACACAAGTAAACATCTTCTGGTATTCTTTGCTTTGAGCCAAGATCCATCTGACATCAGCAATGATATCC